GCAGAGATCGGAACAAATGATAGTCAGAGGGTGCTATGTCTGGACTATACGGTGGATGCATCAAAACTTCCCAACCAAGTTCTCGCAATTTTTGACGGGTCATAAAAGAAGTGTATGGTCGGGCGTTGTCATGATGGAAGACATCTTTCCTATTATTCAATTCGGGCCGTTTTCTTTCAATTGCCTGGCGTAATCTCTCTAGTTGTCCACAGTAGAGTTGAGAATCAATCGTCTGACCAACTGGAAGTAGCTCATGGTGGACGATTCCTTTCCAGTCCCACCACACACACAGCATCACTTTTTTCGGCGTCAATCCTGGCTTCGCAAACGCATGACGTGACGGCTCACCATCCCTTTTCCACGATCTTTTACGCTTCCGATTGTCGTACGTGATCCATTTTTCATCACTGGTTATGACACGTTTCAGAAATGGCTCGATTTCATTGCGTTTCAGCAGCGCATCGCAGATGTTAATTCGGTCTATCATGTTTTTCACACTCAACTCATGAGGAACCCATACATCGAGCTTCTTTTTATAGCCAGCTTTGTGTAAATGATTCAAAACAGTTTTGTGGTCAATGCCTAGCTCCATACCAATATCGACACTGCTGATATGCTTATCTTGCTGGACTTTTTCAAGAATTTCATCAGCTTTTACAGTGATTGGACGACCAGAGCGTGATTCATCTTTCACATCAAAATTACCAGAACGAAAGCGAGCGAACCATTTCCGCGCAACAGATTTTGTTAAAGTACCTTCACCGTACACAGCACAAATTTTTTCACAAGCCTGCGCAGCGTTATTCCCTTTGTTGTAATAATATTGCAAAATATAGCGCAATTTTTCAGTACTTTTCTCCATTTTCAAACGCAAACAACTTTCCAACCACTTCACCAATTTCGATGTTTATACACTCAAAGTAACGCTCGAAGTGTCACCTTTCTAACAAGCGTTTAGTGGTGTCGCTGCGATCTGTGTTTCCTGAGTTATTTGCAATTGACGCCGTCTATCGGGAAAAACGCCACGAACTTTTTCCCAGACCCAATATATGATCAATATTCATAAATAAATAACATGTTCATGGTAGCAGGACTCAAATACAAACACTTAAGATAGCGTTAATTTTACAATTTTTGAACTATTTAGCTCACATAATTTCACTCTTAAATCTCGAATCTGTAGCGGAAAGTAAGATGATTTGCTCACTTCCAGAAGTCGTCGTACAGCACCACGATTTTCCATCAGTTTTCCCTAAGTGTCTGTATGTAATATTGATTAGTAAGTAAAGTTGATTACCGCGATTGTCACTGAGGACTATTTCCACGACGGGTATATTACATTGCACATTGAATCCAATCTCCAAATACTTATAAGACGTTGTAGTCAAAGCGTATCTGCACCCCAGGATACGAGTAGCATGACATGATTCAGGAATGCTATAAAATACAATAAATGTTATATACATTTAAAAATTCGATCGGAAAAGTGTACACAAAGTACCAACCACATTCACATTGATACTCACTTCTTACGTTCCATTTTGTATGGTGGCTCCTCGAAACACTCGTCGCACTTTTGTTTCCATCTGAGGTTATCCTCATCCTCATCCTCATGTTGAACAGGCATGTAATAATTTGCTTATGTAGCGTTCACTTCGATATCGGACATTTTGCTTTACTGTATGTGGAAGCTACTGTCGAACCTTGTTTTTACAGAGCGACTGATGCAGCACTATGCTGGAACTTCTTTAACACAGGCAAATTTTCCCCCCTGCCAATGCTATATCCCCTCCATCGTTTTCTTCAGAGTTCTCAATACACAGGCAAGTTTCCTTCGCCAATGCTGCATCCCCGCCATCGTTTTCTTCAGAGTTTTCAACATTTCTAATGCACATATCAATATATCTTCCGAAACTATATAATAATTCTCTGGCACAGCGTTGTAGCCAGCCAATTAAACAGTCATACATCGATGAAATAATAATATCAATCATAGCGCATCGCAGAACGAGAGAAAATAATGTACAGTACAGAAATGCACAATATTTATATTTTTTATTACAATTTTTAAGCGCTGCAATATAATGGTGCTATGTATTACAATATCACATTTTAAATATTTTTTGTCAGTCGTCGATGCCAGACTGCTGATACCAAATCGTAGGTCTACAAGCTTATCGTGGTATTAGATAAAGAAAGATATGCACATCCTATCATAGGGTACATCCTGTGAAGAATTTAGTGCTGTATCATGTAAAGATATGACTATTTTTGGTCAGGTTTTTCCGGGAGTTATTAATCGAAGATTGTTTAAAATGCGGGGACTAGATTATAGAAGCGAACGAAGACGCTACCCACCCCCAGCATCAATCGCTTGTTGTGGTCCGTATTTGAGTAATATCGAAGAAAGTGTTGAGAAGATGTCGTCGCTGATCCTTCAAATATTAACGAGAAAAGTGACAAAAGTGAAGCATATAGATTTAATTTGCGTATGTGTGTATTTCCTAGTCAGAGCTTTTTCAGTATGAATCACGAAAACATAGAGCATGAAGAAGTAGAAGACGAAGTAGAAGACAAAGTAGAAGACGAAGAAGATATAAATCACATACTCACAGATGATAGTAATTATGATAGTGACAATAGTAACCAATTAATGAATGAAAAAATGAAGAAATTGGAAGTTTCAGAAATTAATACTTTGAGTGGTCAAACAAAAGTGTGTTGCATTTATTTTTCATATAATTCTGGAGACAATCTACGGTTCTGCACATCATGTTTTGTTGATGGCGTTCGCGATACAGTTACAGAAATATTTGCAGTGCGCAAACACATCACCGAAAGACACGATGTGATTGATGGTGTATTTTGTTCAAACTGTAGAAACCCCGTCTACCAAATAACACCATGTAATCTGTGTCCAATATGTATGCACTAATATGACATATTTAAAACAGAATTCTTATATACGGTACAAAATTTTCATCCAATACACTATACAAGATAAAAAGAAGCAGGAAGAATGTAATAACGATATGTGTGTGTGCGTGTGTGTGCGCATGTGGAAGACAGAAGAGCTATAAAAAAGTTCAAATCAGAACATTCTATAATTTAGTCGAAGACAAACAGAGTGGACGCCAGACTGCTGATATCAATCATAGGTCTATAAGTCTATTATTGTATCAGATAAAGAAAGGCATGCACTTAGGCAAAGTCCACAACGAGTTGATATGAGTTTAAGACTCAGGAATGTGTTTAATAGTTCGTCGAGGAAGTTTCCCGAATTTTGATAATGGCATTTGTGAAAGAGTTAAGGGCTATAAAATGTTCAAAGCAGAATATTCTATAGTTTAGTCGAAGACGAGCAGAGCGCGCAGTTACAGTGTGTTTACAACGTTTTGCTAGAAAAATGGCAGAATCATCATTATCATCATTATCAACCGTAGAACGTGAACTGCAGAACCAGGCCGCTCAATTAGGCTCGCTAGACGAATACCTCGCATGGGAACAAAAGTGCGACGAGTGTCTCGAGTCGTTGGAACAGCATAGCCGAGCCAAACAACCACGACTATCGGTTGGTTCAGCGCACTCGATGGTTGCTCGATGGTTGCTCGTATAGCGCAACTCGAGGGTTTAAAAAATACTTTGCGCAGACGTTTTTATACGCAGGAGCCGGACATTCGACACTTGTTTGGCGAGAAATCGATACAGCGTTCAATAGTCGCATATCAACCAGGGCGATTGTAAATACAGACTATATCGACCCTCTTCGATTTCTCGAAGATGTGAAGAATATCGTGCTCGAGCATGTGCGAAGCGTTATGAAGAGACATGGTAGCATAAAAGTGAATACTGTGTTCAACGGTGAATTTGTGGCAGGTGATAAACACGCAAACAAGAGCATTAATACGAGGAACGTTAAACTTTTTTTCACATCCGATCTAGACAATTGGTTCGCGATGCATGTTATCGAACCCACCTTAGCGTCCATGGAAAAATTTCAGGAACGAGATAGCGGGTGGGCACTCTCGCGCATACTCAATCTGACCGTTAATGTTAACAAGTACAATCCATTACATTCGGGATGTCATATCGAGTTACCGCGCGAAATAAAAATGAAGCGGGCTATAATCAACGTACAATCTATGGACAATGCATGTTTCGCATGGGCAGTGGTTGCAGCGTTATGTCCAGCCGACAAACACGCAGATCGTCAATCTTTGTACCCACACTATACATCGGTTTTGAATATGCAGGACATTGAATTTCCAATGCGCATAAATCAAATTAAAAAGTTTGAACGGTTGAACGATATCTCGGTCAACATTTATAGTGTGGAGAAGAGATATGACAACGCGACAAAGAAAGAAGGAAACGTGGTCGCATCTATACGTCTTACGGAACAGAAAATGGAGAAGCATGTCAACCTGCTGCATATCCCAGATTCGCGAGATGATGATAACGCTGGGCACTTCGCGTGAATCAAGAATTTGTCCCGACTCGTCAGCTCACAACTGAGCAAAAAGGAACACAAAAAACATATTTGTGACCGGTAAGTATACACAAAGAACGCAATGTATAATGTGACATATACTAATAACAAATAATGTTTTTCCAGATGTCTACATTACTTCAGCTCGAGCGAGAAGCTGGAGAACCATACCGTCGACTGTCAAAAAATGAATAACTGTGCCATCATCTTGCCAAACGATGACAACAAATGGCTCAGCTTCACCAACTACTGCAGGAAGGAGCGGATCCCGTTTATAATTTACGCCGACTTGGAATGCATCCTGGAGAAGACACCGAGGGAAGAACAAACGAGTTCGTATGCGTATCAACATCATAGCGTATTTAGTATAGCATATTACGTTCGATGTTCCTACGACGAGTCATTATCCGCGTATCGATGTCGTCGCGATCGGGATTGCATCTCATGGTTTGTCAAAGAACTTGAAGAACTGGCACATCGTGTAAAGGATATTTTGTCCGCAAATGTCCCCATGGAAACTTTATCGAAAGAACAGTGGGAGACATTTCAAAACGCTATGCTGTGCCATGTGTGCGAGAAATCATTCGCAAAGGATGATACACGCGTGCCCGATCATTGCCACCTGACTGGACGGTACAGAGGTCCCGCGCATTCCAATTGCAATCTAAATTATCAAGACAGTTATTGCATTCCCGTGGTCTTTCACAACTTATCCGGTTATGATTCACACTTTATCATCAAAGATATAGCAACCGCGTTCGAAGGTTCAATCACTGTACTACCTATAACCAAAGAGAAATATATTTCATTTACAAAGACTGTAGGAAACATGATGGATAGTAAGAATAAATGGAAAAATTGTATACAATTGCGGTTCATCGATTCGTACAAATTTCTCAGTAGTAGTCTCGATAAATTGGCATTTTTTCTCGACAACGACAAATTAAAAATTGTTCGGTCCGAATTTTCAAATTTGTCCGACAAGGATTTTGATTTATTGACGCAAAAGGGGGTCTTTCCGTACGAATACCTTGATTGCGCGGACAAGCTGCAGGATCGGTGTTTACCGCCGCGCGAGTCATTTTACAGTTCGTTGACGGGTGACACGGTATCTGAGAGCGATTACGCGCACGCCACGAACATCTGGCAACGGTTCGCCATTCAAAACCTTAGGTGAATATAGCGACTTGTATCTGAAGATTGATGTCTTATTGCTGACCGATATTTTTGAAAATTTCCGCAATAGTTGTATCAAAAGTTATGGGTTAGATCCCGCGTATTATTACACTTTGCCTGGTTTTACGTGGGATGCTATGTTGAAGCATACGGGCGTTAATTTCGAACTGCTCACTGATATCGATATGGTCATGTTCATCGAGCGCGGTATTCGCGATGGCCTCAGTCAATGTTCCGGTAGATATGCAAAAGCCAATAACAAGTACATGCAGTCTTATGATCCATTGCAACCATCATCATATTTGATGTACTTCGATGTAAATAACTTGTATGGTTGGGCAATGTGTCAACAGTTGCCATACGCCGAATTTCGATGGGTCGATGATGTATCGAATTTCGACGTATCATCAATCGCACTAGATTCACCTATAGGTTACATTCTGGAGGTTGACTTAGAATATCCGCAACATCTGCACGACGCGCACACTGACCTACCGTTCTGTCCGACGCGGGGCAAACCGCCAAACAAAAAGCAGGACAAGCTTCTCGCAACCTTATGCGATAAGCAGCGTTATGTGATTCATTATCGCAACCTGCAGCAGTGCACGCGTTACGGTCTTCGTATTGGAAAGATACACCGCATACTCAAATTTGCTCAATCTCCATGGCTCCGCGATTATATCGAACTTAATACGCAGTTTAGAACACGCGCGACAAACGATTTCGAGAAAAATTTGTACAAATTGATGAACAACGCGGTGTTTGGTAAAACTATGGAAAACGTTCGCAATCACGTAGACGTAAAACTATTGACAAAATGGGATGGACGATACGGTGCTGAGGCAATGATTGCGAGACCAAATTTTCATAGCAGAAGTGTCTTTTCGGAAAATTTAATCGCCGTTGAGCTACGTAAACTTGAGGTGAAATTCAACAAGCCGATCTATGTGGGTATGTGTATCCTTGACATATCCAAGATCTGCTTGTACGAATTTCATCACGAGTACATGTCTCCTCTGTATCAGAACAGATGTAAAGTAATGTACACCGATACTGACAGTTTAATCTACCATATCCAATGCGATGATATTTTCGAGCACATGAAACGTGATATTTCTAAGTTTGATACGAGTGATTATCCCGCTGATAATGCGTACGGTATACCGCTTGTCAACAAAAAGGTACCAGGTCTGATGAAAGATGAAAATAACGGAGCGATTATGACGGAATTCGTCGGGCTCAGAGCAAAGATGTACGCGCTAAAGGTAGACAGCAAAAATGACACGAAGAAGGCGAAAGGTGTGAAGACCAATGTCGTAGCGCGAACTATAACGTTTGATGATTATATGCAGTGTCTGAGAGATGAGGTCGAAAAGCAACGTCGTCAGTCATGCATACGATCCAAAATGCACAAAGTGTACACCGTGTCCGAACTGAAAACTGCACTGAGTCCGTATGATGACAAGCGGTATATCGTACCGAACTCAACAGACACTTTACCATGGGGACATTACAGGATACAATTGTAAACTAAAAAGCGATCATTGTGCATACATGTATATTGTAAAATGAAAAGCGACCATTGTACATATATTTGTTTGTAAGAAATATTGTTAACTATAATAAAAGATGGTTTATTACAAGCTGTTTATAATAGGATATTGTAATAAAAAAGTGTTTATAACAAAGAATTGGTTAGAATACATTTTCTTTGTGTATCCAAGAGTTGTGCGAATTATCAAATCTCAACCATTTCACAAAAACCTTGTCGCCGCTTTTTCACAACACCTTTTCCACGAGATAAACGTCAGGATTAGCAGCGCGATGCAGTTCGTATTCGTAAAATCCTCCGGCAATAGACTTTCCGCGAGAATCCTCGAGCAGATAGGTCGCTGGATTAGTTGTCTGCACTTTGACGATTTTAAACACTTCGGTTGTCCAATTCGGTGTATAGCCTTTTTCAAAGATGGTTTTGAATTTGCTCGCGCGTACCAGATCACCCACTTTGAATCTCGCAGGCGTAGCGATCTTTATGTTGTTGTAGACTGTGTGTAGGAGCTTATCAGCGATTTCGGGTGTCACATCGATAGGACGCATGTCGATAGTTCGATGTTTCCGTGTGTTGTACTCCATGATAAGGTGTGGTAACGAGTCGATCCATTTGTATGTTCCATTCAACGTAAACATTTTCCACATGTCGTTCTTTAACGTGCGGTTGAATCGTTCCACAACAGATGCCTTCATTACCGAGTACGTAGAATAATAATTAATACCGTGTTTTTTAAGGAGTTTCTGCAGATACGCATTATAAAATTCTTTTCCCTGGTGCGTTTGCAAATTTTTCGGACATCTTCCGGATTCTTGAAATATCCTGGCGAACACTGCTACTGCTTCTTTACCGCTCTTGCTCTTCATCGGTACAGCCCACGCATATTTGCTCAACACATCGATAATAGTGAGTATATAGTGGTAGCCTCTATTGAATTGCGAGTAAGGACGCATCTCTACCAAGTCAGCTTGCCAAAGATCATCGTATCCGCGCACTACGGGGAAACGCGTCTACGGGGAAAATATCTTCTCGCTGGAGCGTGCAACTCCTCCACCAACCGATGCTTTTCGTTACCGATGAGCTGCTTCTCTGAACTTTTCTTCTTTTTGTTAAATTTTGATGATTGCTTCGCCATTGCAGCTTGTGATGATCCGTCTTTCGCTATGTTGATACTATATGTCAATTTAACTGTAATATTCTACTTTTAAATTTCCCCTGATTTCTTTATCTCTGAGCGTGTCCAGTCTAAAATTATGGTATTGATACAGTAGTCTATCTCTCCATTCTAAGTAAATATAAAAACTATATCTTATCATTTTGAAAAAGATAAGTAGTTGTAGACCTTTTACGTCTGCGCATCACCATCCCCACTACTTTCTCTATTCTCTACGGGGAAAGACATACGGTGTTGAGACTGGCGAAGCATTCAAGCTTCGTTGCTCCTACGTGCAGCATAGCTAGTTCTCGGTTCTTTACAAGTTATTAACAAGTTCTTGGAAGAAAAATGTTCGGCGCTAACGTGGACACCGCTCTCAAGAAGACGTCGAAGAAGACGAGCAGTCTCTCTACAGAAGTGGGAAACGACCGTAACATGCTTCTATGTACGACGTATGCGCTCAACAATTCGGACACTAAGAGGATGCAGGTTGGATTGCGCACCACGTACGACATGGGTCCATTTGAGCCAACGATCAGGATCATGGGGAACACGTCTTCAGGAATTCTCCTTGATTTGAATACGTGGGAGAAGTTTAAAAATATTATACCCTCTGCAAATTCTTATTTGTGTGGGGAAAATAAGAATACACCAACCCCTATCATCATCAACAATATCAGCATCAACTTTACCTCAGCGTACGGTGCACGAGCTGTAATGGTGAGTCAGCGAGGGAACATGCTGGACGAGAGCGGACCTGCGAAGAAGACATCGGAGGAGTCTACGCATCTGAAACAACCGCCGCTGAAGAAGCATAAGCTGTATACGGAGAATATTATAATGCAGAAGACATCTTTCGATGGTCTGCAAACTGTCACAATATATCGATGCTAGATACGAACATTTACAAGCGGTTGCCGCTCTTGTGAGTAATTGCAAATATATTTTAGTAGGCGAAATAGAACTTAATCTCACGAAGGAAGGTGTAAACGAAGATTTCGTAAAACGGACGTTCGTTGATAAATATCGCGAAATCGAGGAAAATGTACGACGGCAAATGAAAAATTTACAATTTTTAGACACATATTTTAATATTGTATTCCGTGAATTGACTACGATTCATTTAAATGAAATTATACACGAGATTATAACAAACGCAAAGTGCTACGAGTGTTTGCAAAACTACGAATGTAACTTCAAAAATAAAATGTGAATTTATTTTATAAAAATGTTGTATATTCCTTTCTCCCCACCTCTTTTCTCTTCCCTGCGATCTCCAATTCGTTGTAACAAAACCCAACTTAACTTAACTTTTCGAGTTCGAAAGCGAAGGGGACACACAGGTAAAAATATATTCTACTTTTATATTTCCGCTGATTTCTTTATCTCTGAGCGTGTCCAGTCTAAAATTTGGTCTATGTTCTCATGAATGCTATTTATGCTCTGTATGTTTTTTTTTCGGTAGTCTTCCAGCCAATCCTTCAATTTTTTAACATTCTCATCTACATACTGCTTCATCTCAACGTTACTCTCATGCAGTAGAAGCTTTACAGCATTTATATTCTCATCAATATACTGTTTCTTCTCAACGTTACTTTCATGCAACATAAGTTTTACAGACTTTATACTCTCATCCACATAATATTTGTGCGCAGCGTCATTGAAGGCTTCCGGCTGCGGTACATTATGTATCGCATGCATTTTTGCATCGAAACATTTGCCATCACGACCTTTACTATTAGCGGTTAGACAAAGGGCATTTTCATGTACATATCGTTTGGTTGCAACGTTGTTTAAATGATATCTGACACCTGCAACACATTCTTCCACATATTGTTTGGTTGCAACGTCACTGTCGGCTTCAGGTTGCGCTACATGTTGTATCTTGCGCGACTTTGCGTCGAAAACTTTGGCAGCATTTAAACAAAGAGCATTTTCATGTATGTAATCTTCAACATGTTCATTCCATTGATGCGCTTCGATCGGAGAACTATTGCTGTCTGGCAATACTCCAAACTTATGCATCGACATTTCGGAGCAAGCTGTGTCGATGCTCTCGACTGGCTGACGATTGACTGACTGACTGACTCGTGTCAGTGCAGCGCTGTTTAATTTATAATAAGATCAGCTTCGCGGAGTTCTTCGATAATCGATAAAATTTCGTTGTCATGAGCGTTGTTGCCGGCTTGGCGCGAAGCGTCAAGCAATCGTAAACGATCCACCAGCTCGTTGGGATCATCCCAATGCACGTAATCGATATTGTTGTCATTTAAGGTCATCATAGCTTGAGATGCATATAAACCTTTTCCGACCACTTTATCGCTCGACGCATGTGATACTAGGGGCGCGATTATATGTTTATATTTGTGTCCCTTGTTACCAAGTATCGGATTTTGCGGGAGGTACCCGCGTCTGTGAGCATTCGTCGCCAATAGTATACTTTTGTATTTTTGCATATCAGCCTCGGTGTACACAGAATCGTCGGGGATTCTTTTGAATATTAGCTCGTAAAGACCGGGTGTTCCAATGTATCCTGTTTCGCCTATGATTATATTATCGTCTCTGTCCACATCGACACGTTTATCACCGAGCATTGCTCCATCGTTACTAAGACGTACACCGTAAACATAATCTATAGTGTTATCTTTTCTACTACTTAGCGCAGCTCCCATATATTTTTGACCCAACGGACCAAAATGATCATGTAAAGTTTGTTGTCCTTTGTACGTTCGCAACTGACGTATAACGGATGTCATTACCGGTTTATCGGGGGTTTCGAAAACATTCTCATCATCATCATCATCATCATCAGTGAGTAGATTGTTGATCGGTGAAGGTTCATGTGGTTCCTCATATTGTAGAGCTCCCGTCGATGTAGAAACTATCGAAGGATCTTTGAATAGTTTCCGTTTCCGCGGAGTCAATGCGGCTGGTGAAAGTTTCGCCTTACGCTTTATCTTCTTTTCGGGTTTTAATATTACACTCTTTGTTTCTTCGCTTGTACTCATTGATAGTGGCGCAGTTTTAACATCAACGTTACTTTCCACATTAGCGCTGCTTCCCGCGATTTGCTTGAGAGGTTCAATAATAGGTTTAAAGTGTCTCTCCAATGCAGCATTCTCAATAATTCTACCGGTTTTCAAAGCGCGATACTTCTTGCGGATCGATTCGCTCGTTTTCGCAATCTCTTCTGCTACCTTTCCACGATTCTCAATCTTCATGCTATTCATCATTGATATATTTGTCTCGTGGACGTTGAAGATGTTACCACGTTGAGGTTGCAACAACGATTGAGCATCTCACAGCACAGCAAAGTCGTTAAATCCTTTCCTGTATCGTCCGTTGGTCATTGAGCTGTCCTTATCAATCACTGTGAAACCATATTTATCCTCCCAACATTTGCGACACAATGCATTGAAATCTTCATATGACATGTCGGTATTCACATGATCGTTGTACACATGTTTCAAATTGGTACCATCCTGTTTAAAGAGAATCAGAAAATTTGCATTGTCTCGTATAAGATGCTTGGGTATTTTTGCGTACGTTTGACAGAGATAGAAACAGTCAATGTTCGAATGACGACCCATGGCAAAGTATTCTCTTATCGTATCTTGCTTGTCACATGCCACATCGTCAAAGATAAAAATAGAATTTTTGGACGCTTCGGTCGTTGGAATTACGTCGCTGTTATCGGAGAATGTAAAGTATCCAATTTCATCTATCGGTTTCAACAAATTTTTCAAGTAGAGATATTTAAGTTGTTGCAACGATTTTGAGTACACGTACAAGTTCTCGAAACGCAGACCGTGCAGACTTTCCAG